AGATAGATCTACCATATGATCCAGCTATTCCACTGCTGGGTATATACCCAGAGGAATGGAAATCATCATGTCGAAGGAATACCTGTGCTCCCATGTTTACTGCAGTGCTATTTACAATAGCCAAGAGTTGGAACCAACCTAAATGCCCATCATCAGATGAGTGGATAAGGAAAATGTGGTATATCTACACAATGGAATACTACTCTGCTATAAAAAAATAATGAGATACTACCATTCTCAGCAACATGGATGACTTAGAGAAAACTATATTAAGTGAAATAAGCCAGGCACAAAAAGAGAAATTCTTCCTTTTCTCACTTACTTGTGGGAGATAATAAAAATAAATAAATAAATATACAAACAAACAAACGGGGGTGCGGGGCCACGGAGAAGAAGACAGAATGATCACTACAATTCCTTGAACTTATTAAGTGAACAGATATGATGTTGATGGGGGGAGGGAGAAAAGGAGGAATTGGTAAAGAGCCATGAAAATCAACTACATTGTATACTGGTAATTTAAAATTAAAAAAAAAGAAAAACTAAACCCAGTTGTTTGGTTCTATGGCTGAGACTCTGACGGAAAGTACAAAGAAGATGATCATTCACTACTCGCCCTCAAACACCAATCTTTCATGCAAAAAATTGGAACTGGGGGCCACAAGTGATGAAGAGTTCCCACTGCAAGCATTAGGGTGAAGTCGAAGAAATTTTAAAAGGGGGTACTCAAAAGGAACTGGGAAATCAGGGCTTAGGAACGATGTTTGAAGTGTTAAAGACTTAAAAAATGCTTTCTTTCTGTTTCCCTTGGTTAGCCAGTACTCTGCATGAAGAGTTATACTTTCCAAAGGAATAAAAGCTTTGATTATATATGGACCCCTTCTCATCTTCTTGTCATAGCTTTCATGACAAAAAATATCTCCCCCCCATTTACCATTTTCCCTTACTCAATGGAGAGAAGTTGGCAGCCTTCTTGCTTGGTTCTAGTCTTATGTGATTAGTGTATAAATAAGGAAAAGGAAGACTGCATGTTTTCTTTATCTATTATGCAAAATCCTTGTGATGTAGGATTCTGGACATGAGATGTACACAAAGACATAGAAATCTGACTACTGAAAAAACTGGAATGGTTGAAGGCAATAAAATAGCTAGTGTATAGACCACAGGATGTCCAAGAATAAAAGACCAGTAAAGAGACAAACATCAGAAGTTACTTCTTCTGCCTTTTCTATCACCAACTTAAGCTATTTGGTAAAGAACTGGTATCGTGATGGGGATTAAAAAGACTGGGATTGGGAAAATTAAGTTAGAGAAGGTATTGATAATGAACAGGGACTCCTTCATAAAATATTCATGAAACATTTCCTCTCTGAGGCAGGCTTGTGAAAGGGCTAGCCTGTCCCCATGATATGGGCAAGGAAGAGTCTGCCAATCAGTCTTGTCCCTGCCCCCTTCTGTTGCCCCAGACTCTGAAGGCCATGGCTGTGCTATAAGGGAGGTTCTGATGCTGGTGACAAGGACAGTTTTTAGGCCACTGAAGAAAATGATTCTAAGCTAAAAGCTAATGTTAAATGTTCATTAGTAAGCTATAAAAAGTACCTCTCATCAGCTGAGGGAGATGGGAAGGCTTTGGGAATCACCAAAAAGAGAACTCAGGTGTATAGGCAGGAGGCAGAGGTGATGAAAGGTAGAAGTCAGTAGATATGCTGTGCAACAGAAGTCACTGCGTTCTCAGGATAGCAGTGAGGAGGTATAGGGTGCTTCCCAAGGCCACAGTAGATCTGGAGATGTGGTTGGAGTCAAAGACAGAAAGGCCTATGGGGGGACTGAGAAATCTGCTAGAAATGGGCTGGACTCCAGTGGCTAGATCAGGGTTTCCCAGCTTTGGAAATCTTACATGAGTTGTCGCCCAAGTGTGCAGCACTGCCTTTCATGTCTACATAGTACCTGCAATCTCTGACATGTACAACTCTCTGACATGTACAAAGTTGTGAGTTTCCACATGTGCAATGCAAATGTTTTGTCTTAGACGCATTTAAGACTAGTGAGTACAGGTTGTGAACTGAGGTAGTTGGTGATTTAGACTGAGGTGATGTGAAGGGGAGAAGGCAAGGCTCTGGTTTGAGGGTTAGAGTCCTGAGGTCTTCACAATGGTGGGAGTAAAGGAAGGAGCCTGAAAGAGGAGACAAGCCCCTCCCATGAACACTGGAGGCTGTCATTTCAGCTTACTCTGAGGGGTTTGCTCCGAGGTGGAGTCCTAAGGTGGGGCTTTAGGTGGCTTGGGTTTTTGCATAGTGATTAATGTTTTCCTCCACCACATTCCAACAGGAAGCCTCTAAAGGGAGCTTTCAGTTCAGTACTGGCTAGACTCTGACATGGGGTGGTTGTGGGGGAAGCAATATGGTATCTGTTTGCTTTGGGAGACAATCACAGCTTCTAGACATAGCACTCAAGGAACACTCATGAAAACCATCCAGATTCAAAGACTCAAAGTTGTAAAGGCCCTCAGGGTTGTCCCATCCAACCTCTCAGCCAGGTAAATGTTCACCTGTAGCAAAGGAGCCAACTCACCATCCAACTTCACACTCCAAGTCATGTGGAAGCCATTGGTCATCAGGTAGAAGTTCCTCATATCCTCAGGCATCACACAGTTATTTTTCTAGAATCACAAAGCAGCCAAGTGTTAGGTCAGGACTGGAAAAGAGGGTCCAGGGCTATACTAAAAAACAATGGGGACACTAGTTACCATGTTTCAGATCCCCAAAATAGGAAGACTCTAATAATTACCAAAAAATTCTATTAGACAGGCACTGGAATCTGCAAGCAGAGTCACCAGTTTGATCTTTTCTTTTTGTCTCATGAGATAAAGCAGACTA